TCTCTATATGCGTACACTCATTCTGGGTGTTTATGTATCGTGCTACCTATATTCCTTTGGAATGTGCAGCATGTGTGAAGTAGGAATTAGGAGGCATGTACAAATTGCAGGCTGCTAATTTTGAATGCACTGAATTAAAGAAATTATTTTTAAGTTACCAAACTCTGTTATCTTCAGGCAAATTATCAGCAGCCTCTAAAGCCTACTCCCAGCTACCCTTTCATGCCCCACCCATGTGCTTTCCACATTTCTACAACTTCTTCATTTCCCTTTCGTGGGCTCATAGTATTCCATTTTCTATCATACACCCACCATTAAACAACTGGAAACAAAAGGCTGAGGAAACCATGTGAGATGGCTGATTTCATCAGTTGTCCTTTAAAGGGTCATGAATTTAGAGCAGTCCAGGTCAGCTAAAATGCAAGAGGTGGCAGATGCGAGGTCAGCTTCAGCCAACCTTTTTCCTATTCTTGCCTGTTTTTATTGGCTAAACAAGGAGTTCACCTCTAAAATGTTCCACTTTAACCCACTACCCCCATCTAACAAACATTTTGGCTCCACAGGCTCTGTAGAAGCTGAATTTAGCACTAGGCGACACAAAAATGAATCAGGCTTGGCCCTTGCTCTCAAGGAGCTCCCAGTCCGGGAGGGGGCATCGTAAAACCATCCTAGTGGAGACATAAGCCAAATGCTATGAGAGCACAGGAGAGGGAACAGCAGTGCTCCAGATGAGAAGACAGTCCTGAGAGGCAGAAGCTAACCCCATGTCTCCCTGGCATTGTGGGAAGCTCAGGACAAGGAAGGGCCCAGCTCTCCAGCCCTGCACGACTGCCCCCTCCCAAGTCTTCTCCAAGACCACTGCCCAGTCTCCTGCCTTTCTTGCTACTTGATGTGTTTTCCACTGGGGCTCACATAGTGCTGGAGAATGCCCACCTTCTCCCTAAGGCTGCATACTTTTCTCAGAAACCCTCCCAAAGTACCACGCACTTGTGCTATTACAAGGCTGCTGCTTCATGTTTTAGAAAATACACCATTAAGATTTCTTCATTTCATGGTAAATGTTTGCATTTAAGAATTATTCCTTCATTGAAGTTGAAAATCCAGAATCCTTTTTTTGGTGAAGTTCTCTTTCCCTCCACTTCGATGCTCTGATCATTTTCATAAACCGAATGTGTGAGATTGCATGTATGCACATGAAACAGGTTTCCTTCCAGATCTTCTCTTTTAACACATGAACTCCTCCCGCAGTCTCCGGCATGCTGGAGCATGAGACCATTCAGGGCGTATCCGGGGTGAAGCCCACAGGGCTGAGAAAGCGCACCTCCAGCATCGCCGACGAGGGCACCTATACGCTGGACTCCATCCTCCGGCAGCTCAACTCCTTCCACTCGGTCATGTGTCAGCACGGCATGGACCCTGAGCTCATCAAGCAGGTGGTCAAGCAGATGTTCTACATCGTGGGGGCCGTCACCCTGAACAACCTCCTCCTGCGGAAGGACATGTGCTCGTGGAGTAAAGGCATGCAGATCAGGTGAGCGGACGCCAACACCTGCAATGGCCTCTTCTCGCTGTCCAACTGCCTGGGAGGGTGTGGAGAGCTGATGGCTTGTTTCGGGTCAGTGCACCTGATGTCTGCTGCCACCAGCCAAGTAGCAAGGGAAGACCTGGCCCGGAGCCACTTCCTCTTGCCTGGCTGGACTTGTCCACTCCGGCCTTTATTGCTCCTGGCTGTATCTTCCAGCAGGTTCTACTCACTGCTTGTTAGGAACCCTGCTCCACTGTGAAGCTAACTCTTTTGAGGGAGTGGAGAGATGATGAAAAATACATAAAGACTAGATAGCTGCTTTCTCTCCTTTTGTGTGTGTTTTAATTGTACAATAACAAAATATTGAATGATGGTGAAGATTTCTATGTTTGATTGCTTTTAGAAATTTAACAAAATACCTTTTTGTACCTATAGCAACAAGGACATGTCTAATCGTTTACTAACAGATCTTTTACTCTATGTTTTAAGAAAAGCTGCACTCAATTTTATGCCCAACTACTCTGCTGTATTACCTCATTGCCATAATAAAATTGATTTATTTTGCAAATAATTTATTTTAAAATAGCTAGACTATTCACCAAGAGGAGAGAAAAAGGAGTTCTCCTACAAAAGTCTTTAGTGACTCAATCTCAGGACACCTCGGCATTCTTTTCAAATTTTTCATTCTGACCCACTTCCATTGTAGCTGATGTTAAGAAGATATGCCTTCCCCTCAGGCACTAGAGTTTATTTCTCTATAAGCTTTGTTTATACATGTGAAGCACCTGTAGTAATATCATAATTCCTCCTGTTTGCCTGTTTACTAAGTTCTGATTGTGTGTCCATTTACCTCATTTTAGTTTAAGAACCACTGTTACGTGGTTGGCCACCTCTTGATACCTCAGCATCTGTGTGGTTTGTCTCTCTCCATATTTGGGGTCTTTGTATCTTCCAAGGGCCTGCGCGTGCCTTTCCCTCCTTCCATCCCTAAGCTTCCTCGGGCCACTTGCTCTGTTGCCCAGCCTCATCCCTAAAGAGGGCTGCAGCACAAAGTCTGTGTGAGGGAATCTTGTTATTCAGTTAAATAGCTTGGAGTTTGACTTAAGAAAGAATGAGGATATAAAGGATTATTAATTCTCACCTCTGAAGTTGTAAGAGAAGCTAGAAAGTGTTTTCTGGTCAGCTGTTTAATAAGGACACGGCCATAGAATGCGTTCTATTTTGTCTTGTAGCAAGTCTTATTTCATAACTTCAGCTATTTCTCTGTCTTCCATTAAAGGTAATTATATTCTCTAGTCTTTTATATAATTATGATTATGAACTTCATGACTATTTATGATGATAATTTTTAAGCGCAGCTGGTAAGATTTAAGAAAAATGAACAAAAATACTGCCTGTCATTTTAACTGAAATATCTGACAAATCCACATACAAAAAATTAAGACATTTATGACAACATTCAGTAAATTTGCTTTCTCTCTCTCGCTCTCTCCCTCTCTCTCCCCCTCTCCCCTCTCTGGCATAGGTACAATGTCAGTCAACTGGAAGAATGGCTACGTGACAAGAATCTGATGAACAGTGGGGCTAAAGAAACCCTGGAACCTCTCATTCAGGCTGCTCAGCTTTTGCAAGTGAAAAAGAAAACAGATGACGATGCAGAAGCCATTTGTTCCATGTGCAATGCTTTAACCACTGCCCAGGTAAAGCAACTTTCCCTATGATGAATAATTTAACATTCATCATGGGTGATATTTAGGCAAATAAACAAATCTTCCAGCTATTGCTCTTTTCTATGAGCTGACTTCATCTGTGTCGGAGATGATACTATATCTATACAGATCTTGAAGAAAGGAAATTTTACCAGAAAGTAACACAAGTACATTTCAGTGCTAGTCACAGTCATCCACATTCAACATTTAGTAAATATTTATTGAGTGTCTACAGTGTTCTGTGTAATGCCCCAGGCACCGAGACACAATCATGAACAAAACCAAGTCCCTGCTCTCCTGCAGTATACATTATATGCATTCTGTGGAGCTTGTATTCCAAAAAATAATTTTCCGTATTATTTTATAATGGAATGGTTCTTTGGACTTCTCAATTTTAAGACAAAAAATTCTTGTTCCTTCAATTCACTAAATGATTAATTGAGTTCCTATTTCAAGGCACCATACTTGTTTCTGGGGGAAATACTTCAATAAATAAGGAACTTCAAGTTCAGTAGGGAAGACGGATGTACCCAGCTGATTCTGCTATAAGAGATCCTGGCAAGTTCAGTGGTAGGATGTCTAGAGGAAGTGCTGGGGGTGATAACTGACTGTGTTCAGAGAAGGTCCCGTCAAGCTGGGCATTGAATTTAAGGAGTGAGAAGAGGGGAAGGAAGGACCTTGAGGACAATGGCAAAAGTATGTGCAAGGCATAGGCTTACACACGTCCCCTTTTCTTTTGCCCAGTTGTTTCTGTGCTGACTCGAGGACTTTCTTAATGTTCGTCACATATCTCCTAACATGTAAATCTTACATAGATTACACAGAAAATTTGCACAGAAGGTACCTAGGTGGATACTAAGAACACTGCCCAAAATCGCCACTTTGGGAGACTTGGGAGGATAGGGGTAGGGGCACTTTTACTTTTCATGTTGTGTTCTTTTGTACAGTTTGAATGTTTTTCCAAATTTATATTACTTCTCAAAAGGCACAAAGATTAATACATTTTTGTTGTAAAAATTCAAATAATAAAAGTGAATGTGCTTCAGACTGTCTCCACCTCCCCTCTTGTCCCAACCCAGCCCTAAGCAGAAGACAAAACTGTGCACAGATCCTTTCAGCCTCCCAGATTGTGAGCTCCCAGTGTGTGTTTCATAATATGTTGAAAACTTTGATCATTTCACTTCTCACAGATCGTCAAAGTGCTGAATTTGTATACGCCAGTTAATGAGTTTGAAGAAAGAGTCTCTGTGTCATTTATCCGTACTATACAGGTAAGATCTCACAGCTTTCTTTTTCTGTGGTTCGCCAACACAAACTTTTGAGTGGAAATTTTACAGTTTATTGAAGGATAAAATTGTGGTTTTTATTCTATTATTTTATCTTATTTTTACAGTACATGAAGTTGTTTTGATAACAGCTTATTGGAAAAATGAAGTGAATTTAAAACAAATATAAACATTTTTCATTAGTTGCGTTTTGGGCAGAAGAAAAATCTTTCTAGATCCAAAGAATTGATACTCTTTTTTTGTTTGTTTTTCCATTTTCTCAGATGCGTTTACGAGACAGGAAAGACTCTCCTCAGCTGCTCATGGATGCTAAACACATCTTTCCTGTCACCTTTCCTTTTAACCCATCCTCCCTCGCGCTAGAAACCATCCAGATTCCAGCCAGCCTGGGCCTGGGATTCATATCCCGGGTCTGAAAGTGATGTCAAGGCAAACAGTGACAGTACATTTCATGCCTGAAATAAGAACCCATTATTCCCAGTGAGCTACTGAAAACACATTTTTAAAGAGAAAGTAGTGACTATCTTTCAAACAAGAGGTTATTGACTGGAAATCTCCCTAGAGTACTTTCACCACTTTGGAAAGACAGGAAGTCAGGCTCTTTTCTGCTGTGTTACCTTTAGAGCAACACTCACCCTGATCAGCTAGGCATCCCGAGTTTACATGCAGGTGAATGATGGAGGGAAGGGGAAAAAAAAAAAATGTGTCTTCAGCTGCTAGCATTTATTTTAAATCCTTATCACTGCATCTAAATAGTATAAAAAATGTAAATTCCAGATATGAGCTGTTGTTAGAAAGGCATCAACAGAGAAGAACCTCCTCCATGCTAACCAGAAGAAAAATCGCTATTGAGTCCATATCAGTTTAGGAATCAATTATGTTGATGTTGTTGAGCTGCATCAAATAAATAAACTGGCAATATGTATAGTAGTTGGTCAAGTACCTTCCTTGTATGTGTCACTATAATGTAGAGATATTAAGAGAATGTTGGTTTGCCGTATAGCATAGAAGTCCATTTGTACTGTAGTTTCCTGAGCATTTTAAATTGCTGCTACATACTGTGTTCTTTAAAATGTAAACGATACTCTTATTAGGCACTACAACAATAAGCTTCTCTTCAATCACCTCTGTTTACAATTCAGTAGATCACAGTTTTAACTGGATTATGTGCAAATATCCACAGATGCTCTCGTGGAAGTAGCAGACACTGGGAAGTGATGTAGTAATGTGACAAAATGTTTGACATTTTTTAGGGATAGGATTAGACAGAATGGCTATTGTTGATGTCATTATTCATTGAGGACGTGTTACATTGACGTGCTCATTAATTTTCCCTTGGTGGGTGTCACATCAGGGTACAGTGTTCTGTGAAGTGACTTATTTTTAGTTCCCAATTCTAATTCCTGCAATGCATATATTTTCAACCTTGACAGGTTTTCTTTCTTCTTCTTAATTTATTAAGAATTAATCTCAGTCATCGTCTAGAGAGCATTGTCAGAATATTCATGATTCAGGTCTTGAAACCTTGATTATCCTATAAATTATGCAAAAGAAGGTGTATAATAAATTATTATGATTCCATTTTTTTAGGTTTTGCAACTTGTATAAATGTTCTCAGTACCACTAGATACTTTAAAGAGCATCCTACTAGAAATACTTTGACTTATATAAGAAATATAAAAAGATTGCTGAATTTTACAGAGGATTTGGCTCAGTGTGACCCAGATTCTGTTTTCACTCTGAAATTCTAATTAAACCTAGTCTCCATTTTTTTCTTAGAAATCTTATGTAATTAATCTTTCAGGTTGTGCAAAGGCAAATTCTTAGCTTTCATTAGAAACTCTGGTTCTGCATTACAATCATAGATTTATATAATTTAACTCTTAGATGGTTTATTAAAAAATGACATCTTATTAAGATATGTGCAATATTATTAATGGAAGTCAAACAGTTTCAAATCAACGATAAAGATGGTTATTAAAAGATAAGTACTGTCAACTTATTTGGGCCTCAGAGTCCTCGTTTATACAATAAGAGGGTTGGACAACTGATTCTTTAGGTCCCTTCCATGTCTAACATCCTCTCCTCTCAGCACTTGGATCCTAGAGACACGAGCTGCAGTTGCTCAGTAAGTTCACCCTCTAATGGAAAGACCAGCATTTGGTGCCTGGTAATTCTGAGAGGTTAATAAAATGTCGTATCACAGCTATAACCTTTCTTAAATGTACATGATTTACATCCGTGCTTTTAGAAAGTTAATTAGTTTAGGTAATTTTTATTGAAGCACATACTGCTGTATTCAGTTTGGACACATTTATTTATTTGCAAAAGAAACCAAAAACACTACTAATTCAGTCAGATTCTCTCAGTTTTGCCTGGTTTGTCAACGTGACTTTCAATGAGCAGTGAATTCATAACCATTTGGTTAGTACTGAGTGTGTCAGAGCATAGATGGGACTTGGGTGGGGGAGATGCCACATGGTGTAGGCTGTCCACCTCAGACCTGCAGATTCTCCCGGGTCCGCCGCAGCTTAGTCCTGTGGAGCATGTCCCATGCACACCCTCTCTCATCATGTCTTAGCTCCCACTGCCACTGCAGCCTTCTATCTTACCCCCAGACAGCTTGTGTCCCAGAGCCTCTCTAGTCTGGGTCTTTCTCTCTCTCCTGTCTCCTGTCTTTCTGCTGGAAAGTGCTGCAGCCTCTGTTCCACACGTGGGCCAGAGTCTCCCGTTCAGATTTGGCCACACAAAGATTCTGTTATTCCAGGGCTCTGGCTTCCTCCAAAGCCTACCCAGAACCCCAGATGGGGATCTGAATTAATTTATCTTAGCGGCCTAAAGATCTTTAGTCCTAACAAGAGTACTTTACAACGAAGAGCCCCAAGACCTGGTAATGACTCTGTGTACTACTTTCTTGAGGATGCAACAATATTCTGCTGACTCTGGGTATCCTTTGGCCGCTCTGAGGACTGCTCACCCTTTTTTCTGTCCATCCACATTTTCTCATGCAGCTTCAAACACACCTCCAGCAGCCTTCCAGCTGCCCATTTATCTGTTCGCTGTTCACCTTCCCTCAGGTGAACCATGTGTCCCATCGCCTGCCTATGGGACTGCAGTGGATAGAGTCAGTCCTCAGCCACCCCCGCTGGCCTGACTGGCAGCTTACCTTCAGGCCAGTCTTTGCACAAGTTCTTCTTGTGCTCACTTCTCGGCAGTATATTCTTTAACATCTCTAATTTGCTTTTTCATAATTCCTCTATGACACACAATAGGAATCAAAGAAAGATCTTGAAAGAACAACAGTAAATTGTCTCAACAGCCCCTTTTCATCACTCTTCTCCCTACTCACCTTACATACAGATTCAGCTCACACCTTGGAATGCAAAGCTGAAAAATTGAAGCAGTTTCCCTTCTTATAGCTTTTCTTAGGTTAAGGCTTTGGTCTGCCTGAGAGTAACCGTAAAGATGGGGAAAATGAATGTGGTCTAAAATCCACAAATGTAGCTTTGTGATTCCTTTGGAAGTTTTTAAAAAATCCCCATATACCTGACAATTCTTTCGTCAAGAGCAAAGTACAAAAAATATCTATTCCAAAGACAACTGAAAGGAGATTTGGGGATTTGGGTCAGCTTGTGTGATTTGCTTTATTTCAGTGAATAATTGCTCTTTCTAGGTAAATAAGGATGTGTCATATAGATCAAATTTTTTAATAGTGGGGGAAGCTATGAAAATTCCTTATTTTATTAGAATTTCAGTACAATGATTGTTTTGAGAAATTACTTTCCTGGTAACCCTAGATAAAGGGGCACCTGTCACCATTCTGAGAAGTTCTTACATAATATTCTTATATTTT